AGCTACTTTACCGGCTGAAAAGTGAGGTTGTTGTGGCCCGCACAGTACCAAGTTAGGAGATTCACAAGTTGATGACACGCTAGCTTGTCATGTATCTTAAGTTAAACCAGCTCCCTTGAAAAACACAACACTACCGGCGTCATTTTAAAAAAGATATAAATGTTCCTGAAAACACAACGTTGAGAAAAATAAAACACCCCGTCACCGGGTTTCCTCCCGTTCAAGCAACGTAATACCAAAACCCTGTTACCAAGCTAACGGTCTAGCTAAAGTTAGCTCTGTACTACAAAAGCACTGTCATATCCCAAGGTCTGTCAACGTCAACTGATTCATCCAACTACTGCAACGCTCACTGCAGACGAAACCTGGCTATTGGTGTTTCGTCGAAAAATGCGACCCTGCTAGAAAAAGAACCAGGAAGGCCCGTTTCATACCATTTAAAGTCAAAAGTGCCAAACTGAGCTGTGCTCAGGCGAGGTCAACTTTTTTCATTTAAGTCTATTTCGGAATCACGAAATTATGAATAAAAATACACTTTATTCATAACGCCAGAATGCATGACCTGTAATTTCAGTTTGCCTCTATAAATTACATTTACAAAAGCAATTAACACCCTGAACGCTCACAGGCACTAATTATATGGTGGTTATATGTGTATGTAAATGTATTTGAATAATATAGTAAATAATTTAAATATCACCTCATTTATGTTTACGTTTTATATATTTGCTACTTTGTTTACAGTGTTGACTTCTATGTACACGTGTAAGGCGATAAATAACTAGTTGATAAATTGATGAGTAACATTTTAATCTAAAAGCGTGGGAAAGTGCTTCCGACTGCACGGCGAGATTCCGACATCACGATACTGCTTTTTTTAATTAAATTTTTATTATTATTATTATTATTATTACATATTGTTTTTTTCTCTTTTCAATTTGATCTTAAAATAAAGTTTAATAATAAAAAAAAAACCCGCTTGCGATTTTTTCCAAAAATAACTTTCCACTCAGCATAGCGGACGACAATGAAGTGCTTAGTTTAACATGAGTACTCTTTTCAGCACAACACCGGTAGGCCCGACACCGGCTACACAATACGTGCGTCATATCCGCCTGCTTCCACATGAACTACGCTTCCCAGTACCCCTCTCTCTATCCGAGCTTAATTAGCCCTTTAGCCACTTCAAACAGGATGATCTACTTAAGAGCGTGTCCTCCGATGTCTTTTAAGCTACGGAAATGTGTGTGTGTTTTTTTAAAATCATTATACAAAGTTGTATGTCTGAGACAAACGAAATGAAAAATCTCAACACATTTCTAAATAGGTATTTTGCCAAAGTAGTGTACGTTTTCATACAGTAAGAAAACAACCATCTATAAAATGTGTGTGTGTGTGTGTGTGTGTGTGTGTGTGTGTATATATATATATATATATATATATATATATATATATATATATATATATATATATATATATATATATATTTTTTGTGGTGTCTAAAAATATCTCATTTATGAAGCTATTCAGATTCACAGAAATATTTCTTACTGCCTCA